TTTTTCAAGTTCATATTTTACAGCTAACAAAGTCATTTTTTAACCTCTTTGAGGTGGTACTCTTATATTGTAATTCTAAGTATGGCATGCTATACAAATATAGTATTAAAGGGTTACATTTTTGCTGAAATAGTATTGTGGATTCAAATTATGCCTGGTTAAAAAGAGATGTGCTGATAACTGAACCAGAATAAAAGCATTGGAGCCAGTGGGTTTATTCTCAGGCAGAGTTCTGTGCCAGAAAAAATTTTATGCAAGAAAATTTTGGCCTAGAATCTTGCCTTCCGAAGACAATCACTGTGGGCACTTAACTTTTTAACTTACTGAGACACTTGAAAAAAATGTAATGTTTCAGAAAGTTTTGAACAATTAACCTTCAAAAGAGTTGGCCATTTGAAAATACATGTAAATAAGTTCCTAAGAAAAGAGTTGGCCACTTGAAAATATAGGAACTTAAGTTCCTAAAAAGTACAGTCACATGTAAGCATAGAAGTTGATAGAAGAGGTGGAGGGTTTTCTGTTTTGATTGTTGGAGTTTCTTTCTTTAGTCATTCTTTGCCACAGCTCCAGTCTGTAAGGTGGAGAATAGTAGAACTTCCAAATTTCAGTGGGTTTAATAAAAATATTAATTCCAGTTGATCTGGTACTTGAATGCTCTTGTACTGAGAGTCATAAAAATAGATTAGATAACTAGTCTTCCATTTTTAGTTCAGTTGTCTGTTTCATGCGTCAAAATAGAATAGAAATCTGTAAGCTGAATACAACTTCTAAAACTTAAACCAAAAAAAGTAACTTACCGGCTTAATGATGAACCTAGAAACTATTAAAAAACCTAGAAAAAACTAAAGCTACTTTTAGAAAAGTTTTATGGGAAGAAGAAAAGGACAGAGAAGCAGTATGATGTCTTTTTGTGCTTCAATGTAACTTTATCCTTTAAAAAAACCCAAAAAGCACCACAGAACACACAGAGTTAATGCAGAGATCAGACTGGTACCAATTTTTAAGTTACAGAAAATGATTAAGGAAAAATCAGCAATCAAAGATTTGTTTCCTGCTCTTGTGAAGCATGAAGAGAACTACACGTTCTTGACAAACAGCTTCCATAAATGATGCTGGAAATTTGGATTTTAGTGTACTGGAACTATGCTTTGTATAGTGAAAGATTTAGTTTTTACCTTGTTGGAATACAGCAATGTCCCATTTTCCCCTCTCCCATTCTGATAAACTTTCCTAACTATTTTATGTGGTGCCAGATCTATTTCTGAGTCCTTCCCTCTTCCCAATCTGGACCTAATTACCAGGAACACAAGGAATACATTAGTTTGTGTTAGTTACATGAACCTGTGGCAGGAGAATACAAAGTTATTTTGTTTAAAAAATAAATAGACAGATGAACTGTAAATTAGGGAGGAAAGCCTTTTTCTGTGTAATCCCATTTCATGTAAAACAAGGCTATGTCTCTCTTCTTAAAAAGGCTGAGAAGATTAAGTAGCCAAAGTAGACAAGCAACTTCCTGCAAATTCCCAGTTCAAGGCTGTGTGAAAAGGACATATGTATGCTCCTTTTAGAATAAATTATTTTTACCTCTGTATGCAGCATTCGTGATACTTTGGGAGAGCATAGAGAAGAGGCAGTGACCTAGTGTTGGAGAAAATGGGTTAAGGTGAGAGAATTGAAGAGCTATGTCTTTAGTTGATCACAAGGATCAAGGTGAACCGAATGTTTTAGAGATATTTTCTTTAGGAAAAAAATATCAGATTCTTAATTAATGAAGAAAGTTGTAACAGCAGTATATAGCTGTAAGTTTTCATGTTAAAAGTAATCAGGTAGAGCAATAGGGTCTCCGTGCATGAATTAGTCGTGTGGATTGTGTTCAGTGTAGAGGTAGCTGTGAAAAGGGGTGATGTACGCAGGTGGCCAGACTAGATGATTTCCAGATCAAACTCTTCTAAGGTCTACATTATTTTCTCCATGCTGTGTCTGCCTTTTTCCGCCCCCCCTTCCTTCTTGCCATAATTCTTGGTCAGGGTATGCATAATGGGTTCCAAACTTCTTGACCAATGTAAGGTTCCAAATTTCTGGAGCAGCAGCTTACTGAATTACAATAAGTGTCCTTTGATGATGAGCAGATGGTCTCTTTTGCACTAGATAGCAAACCTATCAGATGCACAAATGTGTTTTTCCTCCCTTAGAAGGAAAGCTGTTTTTCAGTATTAACAGAAATAGTTTGTAGGGTTTTTAAAAAAAGTAATATTTTCAGGTAATGCCAGAACAAAATTCCCATTAAATAGATGTGGTATTTTTTTCTTCCATCTGAAGCGATAGAATTTATTGCAAGAATTCAGTTGTTGTTAACTGTTTGGTTTGAATTCCAAAAGCTTGCTTTTCATTATGCTATCAGGTGTGATCTTGGGAAGAAATCAGGGCAAAATGCATTTGCTATAAAAGTTGCGAAATCAAGGAATTTTTTACTTTCATCCTAGTCTTCCAAGCTAAAGCTGTATTCTGAAGGTATGTTTTTAGTATTATTTGGATGTTAATTATACAGGTCTACCAGTGCTCCTCCGAGTCTTTTCGGAGGTTGTTGGCACCCCATCATTCTTAAATAAATAAGTACAAAATAAAATTTAAAAAAATACCATCCTTGGAAATTCCCCCACAGACAGAACTCTGGAAAGGCAGAACACCTTACCACAGTGTCAGTTGTACCTATGCAAGTGTCACACAGTAATTATGTGGTAAGATGAGAATCAGTGTTCAGCTGGTTATGTGGACAAACCTTTAGTTTGCCTCCTGAAGAATCTAGGAATAGCATCTTCAAAAATTATGAACTGTTGTGTTAAGTTTGAGTCTTTAAAGAATAAGTTCGGTTTGTTTTTATTGGTGGGCTTCAGAGTTGACCCATGTCTGGGGAAAGAAAGGGGGTCTACTTCAGGAAACAAAACATTTAATGTGCCTGCAAAAATGCAGCATTCTTGGATGTTGACTGGCAGAGACCCTGTTTATCTGCTTACGATCTATTTAGTGTTTGGAACTAGTATTTTCTGCTCCTATGCATCAAGTGAGCCATTCCACTGCTTTCTATGTGTAATTCTCATACAGCAGTTAAATTTATGGTCTTAAAGGTTATCTTCTGCCACCCTCCTTTCTCCTGAAAGTCTCAATCATTGCTTTCTTTTTCCCTTGAATTCTTCTGTCTTAAAACCTTTTGATTTGTCTCTTGCTGTATTTTCTTGTCAGTAGTCTAGAACTTGTTTAGGGTTCTGCCCCATGAGTGGAAGTAGATATAATGGTTGTGCCTATACTCTAGTCATAGTTCCATTTCTTGTGTACTTGCCCTGATCTCCTGAAAATTGTGGTCTAGTTTGTTTAAAGTTGGAATTGTTTTTTGTTGTCCTTACTGTAATATTTCAGACTCTAAACTCCAACAGTTTTCAGCTGCTGGTCTGTAGGTGGTGTAGCAATTCCTGCAAAGCTGCAGGTTAGGTAGTCGTGTAGATGGTCAGGCACACACTTGCCACTCTGCACCACTAAGCTAAGCTGTCTTGCTTTAAGAGTTGATCTTAGCTGTTACTTAGCACTGTCTCCTCCAAGAGCACTCTGCCTCTACCACACTGATTATGCAAGATGCTGGCAGAATGCTGTGATAGTGCAAAAACTGAACATGTATTGGAAACTTATAGCAAGATTTGTGATCAAATTGAGTTGGCAGACCTGTAGAACTATGTAATAAAATCAAATGGAAAATAAGCCATGCTTTTGGCCATCCTTTCAATTGATTATTTTTTTCTGTGCCTTATACTCTACCAGTTGTATATCCAGTCATGTGAGATGATAAAAATTCATGTCATTCTAAAAAGGATTAAAAAACTATGATCCAATATAGAATTAGAAGGGGACTTACAAAAGATATATCTACAGTGAAAGATGGTGCCTCAGCGTATAGAGTTGGTGAAGGGTAGAAAGGTTTTGTTTGCCTGACCTCTCTTCATATTATTTTTGGAGTGTTTTTGGTTTTGTTGGGGTTTTTTTGTTTGTTTCACATCAATATTCTGAAAGGGGAGAGTTTTGCCCTGTAAAATACTGTGTGCCTGTTCCGCTGTGCTTCCACGCTATTGCTCTGTCCACCTACATTCTCTAGTGTAATGTAGTTAAGTAACAGGACAGTGTCTTTTGGTTCAGTGTGTACTATGGCTTGAAAGAATTGATTATTTTAAACAATCAATTTAAAATTAATCTATATAAATCATCAGGTGGTTTTTTTTTTTTAATTTGGGATTTGGAGAAAAGCATGTGGGGGATTGTGGGAAAAGAGCCTGGAAACTTTCCTGGGGTGCACAAGAAAGGACATCCTCTCTGCACTCAGTGATGTTGCCACCTTAGGGTGTCCCTGAGGTCCCAGCTTCAGATCCCCTGAGACCACACAATCAAAGCAGTGTGGGGGACTGGGCAAGGCTGAAAAGGAAAGTGTGTATTGGAGGTTGGAGGGAGCAAGGAGGCTGCAGTGGGAGTCCAGTGTTGCTGTTTGCTTCCTCACAACCTGTTTCTCTACAGAGCAGAGTTGGTCCTCACTTATCATCCTTCTCCTGCTTTCTTAAATAAGCTTAGTTTTGTCTAGTAATTACAGTTGGGGACAGTGGTGGTCTTTCTGTTGTAGAGTTTGGGCAGGGTCATTAGATTTATTTCTATTTAATAATTAAAACAACATTCATTTGTACAGTGCTAGTTCTGGTGGAATTCTGGTTCATCACTGGGATTTGCAGGCATTACTGTCATGCAAGAAGATGCTGCTTCCTGTTTTAAAATTCCCTAGATACTTATGGTGTGCCATATTGAATTTCTTCAGCTTCAGTTTGAAAGAATGAAAACTTTCAGAACTTCTTTACCAATAGTAATTTTTCTTTTAAATATCTTCTGTCATTGCTGCTGGAAAATGGTATGCAGTGGTTGATTCTGAATATTTGGAAGAAATAAAGCCGGTGTTCTGTTCTGTTTTTCAGAGAACGCAGAATCAATTGATCTCAAACAGTTTTTTGACCTACATTTCTCACACATATATTATGTCTTCTTTGAAAACTTTGTGACTATTGAAGTAGGTCTTAAACAAAAAGGTAAGTATTTCAAATAGAACACTTTTTTGTCCTCGTGTGTTTGTTGTAAAATAAAGTAGGGTGTCTGTGGTCACAAATAACAACATTAGTTATGTAGAAATATGTGTAAGCAGTAACTTTGTAAATAAGCAGTAACTTTGCAAATCAAGGCAGAGCAATTGGAGGTGCATGCCATAGAGGTGAGCAAGGAGTGTTTATTCTCTGACTATTTTTGCCCTTTTGCTGAAGGAGGATTCTTAAGGTGTTATACTTTGTGATCTGCAGAATTATTCTGTTTAACAAGATATTGTATAACCTTACCAGCTGTTGATGCCATAATAGAAAGTTACACAAACTGTAACTATTATAAACTGTAACTAGGAAATATACTTTTTTGTTTGTAGAAGGAATGCAAAATAATTCTTTTGGTTGTAGAAATGCATATTTTTGTTTTACACATCTAGGGATCTTTGTCAGTGTTCTTTACATTTTGTTTTGGTAATTAAAGTGTTTCTTCTGCTTATTTTTAATTGCATCTAGGTCACAAGTCTCAGAGAGAAGAATTAGATTCTATTCTTTTTATTTTTGAGGTAAGATAACTTGAATACTCCTGTATGAGGTTTTTTTTTTCACTTTGAATTAAGTCCTGTTGAGTAATAACAGTGTAGCTATCCTACAGTTGCCTGGAAATGCATTTTATGCTTAGCTGCATTCCTTTTTGTTTTGCTTGGAGTTGAATATATGTGCTTTGTGTGAGAAGAAAAATAATTTGACTTGCAGTTTTGCAGGAAGATGTCTTAACTGGAAAAAGATGTTTTCTGCGTCTGCAGATAGTTTGGTGATGGTAGTGTTGTCCCACCCTCCATGATTGTACGCTTTGAAATTCTTATAGATGTGGTGTCTCGTTATCTGTGATCTTTCTGACCATTTGATTGCATGCTGTCACAGAATAATAGATTAGTTTGGGTTGGAAGGGACCTTTAAAGATCATCTAGGGACATCTTCAACTAGATCAGGTTGCTCAGAGCGTTTCCAGGGATGGGGCATCTACCACCTCCCTGGGCAACCTGTTCCAGTATTTCACCACCCTCATTGTAAAAAATTTCTTCCTAATATCTAATCTGAATCTACCCTTTTTTAGTTTAAAACCATTACCCCTCATCCTAGTGTAACAGAACCTACTAAAAAGTCTGTCCCCATCTTATAGGCCCCATTTAAGGCTTATATAAGGCTGTAATAAGGTCTCCCTGGAGGCTTCTCTTCTCCAGGCTGAACAACCCTAACTCTCTCAGCCTGTTCTCAGAGGGGAGGTGCTCCAGCCCTCTGCTCATCTTCATGGCGTGCCTCTGAACTCACTCCAACAGGTCCATGTTCTTATGTTGGGGGCATCAGAGCTGGATGCAGTACTCCAGGTGGGGTCTCAGGAGAGCAGAGTAGAGGGGAAGAATCCCCTCCTGCAACCTGCTGGTCACGCTTCTTTTGATGCAGCCCAGGATACAGTTGGCTTTCTGGGCTGTGAGTGCGCATTGCCAGGTCATGTTGAGCTTGTCATCCACCAGTATCCCCAAGTCCTTCTCAGGGTTGCTCTCAATCCCTTCATCCCCCAGTCTGTCCTGATACTGGGGGTTGCCCCAACCCATGTGCAGGACCTTGCACTTCACAGAATCACAGAATCACGGAATGTTGGCCTTGTTGAACTTCACAAGGTTCACGTGGGCCCACGTCTCAAGCCTGTCCAGATCCCTCTGGATGGCATCCCTTCCCTCAGGTGTGTCAGCCACACCACACAGCCTGATGTTGTCTGCAAACTTGCTTGTCACTTTTATCCCATTGATAAGATATTAAACACTACCGGTTCCAACGATTTTTCTCATAATAGATGGCTGCTGCAAAATTAGTTTTTATAGATCCTTTTTATTTTTGAAAATATTTATTATTTGAAAATAGCATTTCACAACATCCTTACCAAAAGCGTATCTTGAATTAGAAACTAATTCAATTAAGTCAGACCAATTCTGAGCTTAGAATGTCAAGTTTTTATCTTTCCTTTTTGATGGAGGCTTCATCAAAGGAACAAGGATTGTGGTTTTTAAAAAATGTGTTAAATAAGTTAATATGTGTTAATAAAGTTAAATACAATTTCAGGTTTTTAATTTTTTTTTTTTTAAGGTACATTGGTGATTAAAACTTCAGAGTTAGCTGTTACAAGGAGAGTGAATCTGGTCGTTTGTTTGCTGGTTCCTACATAAAGGAGTTTTGGGTGACCTGTCCTTTGGAAGCAGTTGCACAGGCTTCTAAAGGGCCAGGACCAGTAATTCTTTTGGGAAGTCAGGTTGTTTACAAGTTGCTAATACTTCTAGCATAAATGTTGCAGTGCTACATAATAGATTTTTAAGCTGCATTTGTTACTGTGCCCTGGTTTTTACCATCTGAAGAGGATCTTCCTCCAGTCTAGCTGGAGAGGTGTTAAACCATTATTGCCTTGACTCTTCATTCTTTTGCAGTAGCTGGTTACCCCTCTGTTGATAAGGCTGAAGCACATGTTTGCCTGTGCCACAGAGGCAAGGTCACAGTTTAAGCCACTCTAAAGGTGGAATTAACCTAATACAACCTGTTGTGAACCAGAGCAACTGAGACAGATACTCATCCCATTCCACTTAGAATCATAGAATCATAGAATGGTTTGGATTGGAAAGGACCTTAAAGATCATCGAGTTCCAACCCCCCTGCCATGGGCAGGGACACCTCCCACTAGACCAGGTTGCTCAAAGCCTCATCCAGCCTGGCCTTGAACACCTCCAGGGATGGGGCATCCACAGCTTCCCTGGGCAACCTGTTCCAGTGCCTCACCACCCTCACAGTGAAAAATTTCTTCCTAATGTCTAGTCTAAATCTACCCTCTTTCAGCTTATACCCATTACCCCTTGTCCTCTCACTACACTCCCTGATAAAGAGTGCCCCCCCATCTCTCCTGTAGATGCTTATGCTGTAAGCAGTAGTATCCAGCAAAGAGACAGTGGAGCCAGATAAACTGCAGTAACATCTGAAGTCTCCAGTGCAGGACTTACCAGGCAGTTTGTCAGAGCCTTTGGGCTTCTTAGCTTTAGGAATGGGATTATCTTGAAAGGACGGTAATTCTTCCAAGGAAAGCAGTGTGTAAATTTTCTGAGTTAACACTTCAGCTTTTGATCTGTGGCCTTTGTGCAAGTGTGCAATATCTGCAACATAGATCCTTGGGTTCTGTTTTTTACAGAAAATTTTGCAACTCCTTCCAGAAAGGATTCATCAGAGGTGGCAGTTTCATAGTATTGGTAAGTTGATTATCTTTCTTTTTCTTTTTTTTTTAATCTTATCTTTTATTAGTAGTTATTAGTAGCTTGTGCTAGTCATTTCTGTAACCTTTAAGTGGCATAACAGGGATTATGGTCTTGAAATTCTTGCAAGCAAGAGGAAGAAAAAAAAAACCCAAACAAAAAGCCCCACCAATGTAAGGAGATGCTCTTCTAGATAGAATTAAAACTGGGAATCTGGAAATAGAACAGTGGCTGAGAAAGTTGCTTTGTAATTACTTTTTTCTATTTTTTTCTCTTAGTAATAAATTTAAAAATTGGGGTGAGATCTATATTTGTAAATGGGGAACGCTGATATTATACACATGAATGACTTGAGAATCATTTCCTTTTAATGTACACGTCCTAAAAAGTCCTGGGGGAAAGATGTTATGGGTTATGAGGAAGCTATGAAAGGTGATCTTTATTTTTCTTCTGGCACTGGAGCATTGCCTGAGGATATCAAGTTCACCAAGATTAAATTGGAGTTTGCCAAGGACTTGTTTAAAAGTTACTATCAAGTCTGACCGAGAACTCTGACATCTTACTTAATAAAGAAAGAACAAAGGAACAACTTCTTTTTTCCTTTCTTTTTTTAGGGTTGATTTTAAAGAAGCTTCTTCACACTGGAAATTCATTAAAGGTATTAGAAAAAGTTGCATACTACTTTTGTCTAAAGTACTTAAAAATACAAATAAGGGTGAATTTTTGTGGCAAAAGCACAGGAAAGAGAGTGAGATCATGACTTGTGTGTCATGAAAGAATGACTTCAAATCATCGGCTTTACCACAGTATAACTACTCACAGTAGTAATGTGCTTATATAGAGTAGCCACGTTAAGAACGTGTGCAAATCGTTGAAGGATTGGCATTAAAGCAGAAGTAAGCCTTAATCCTTCATTGTTAGGAGCAAGAAAACTGTTTTTGGGGCTCTGGCTGTCTTGTAAGTGGAAGATGATCTAGGCCAGAGAGACCTATTGGTGGGTAGTGTAATAGCAGTTGACCATGGGACAAAAGCCATCTGAGTGTAACATGTAGTTTTAGTACTGCAGCAAACAGCCATGTCAGTCCTGTGTAAACCGCCTGCAGGCTTGGCTGATGCTGGAATTCTCCAGTGTGAGAGCCAGGAGGGGACTGCTCTAGGACTCCATCACCTTCCTTGAAGAAAGGAATGGAAGAGGGTAGAAGGGGTCCGTCTGCTGCAAAGAGCTTACTTTGTTGTCATAACTCAAATACATTTAGAAATTGTATTATGATATTTGTATTTTCTGAAAAATTCACATGATATCTTGCACTGCTGTTGTCAAGCAAGTGACTAGACACATGTTGGTTTTCTTCCTCTTCTTTCAGAGAAAACCCTGTGAAAGAGATTTTGTGAGGCAAACAGCAGT